CAGGGCCTGCCATGTTCCTAAAATATATATATATAATAATGGAGGAGATGTAGGGAGTGGCTCAGAATGGCTGCTGCTGCCCTGCCCCTCCCATCTGACTATTTGGTTTCCTGTCAATACCTGTGAACGCAGAGTCACCTGAGACAACAGGTGCATTGGGAATAGTGCATGTTTCCACTGAAGAGGAGCCAGCTCTGTGTAGCACAAAAACAGAACACTAAAAGCTATTAGAGAAAATCAACAGATTGCTAATCAAGCAAAGTCCATTAGAATCATATCCAAATTCTCAACACAAACCCTCAAGTGAAGAAGAGCTTGGAGTGAAGTATTTCATATTCTCGAGGAAAACAATTTCCAACCGATCCAAGATTGATTTACCTTGCAAAAATATCATTCAAAATTAATGGAGAAATGAGATATTTCTATGACAAACAACAATTGAAGAGATTCATGTTCAGCAAGCCAACACTAGAAAGATTACTGAAAGATGTTCTAGATAGAGAAAAAATAACACAACTTCCAGAACAACAACAGAAAGAAATCACCAGGCAGGGCAAGCAAGTAAACAGAGTACAAAAGCCGAGAACTAAAACCAGGAAAATAAAATGACAAAGATAAACCAATACAGATTAGTTAGAACCATCAATGTAAATGGCCTAAATTCATCAATCAAAAGAAACAGATTTGTAGAATGGATCAAGAAGCAAGAACCAATAGTATGCTATATAAAAAATGCATTTAACTAAAGAAGAGATTCACAGACTGAAAGTCAAAGGATGGACAACAATCATCCATGCAATAAAAACCCAGAGAAAAAGCAGGGTACCTGCTTCTGTTCATAGACAATGTGAACTTCAAACCAAAAATGTTCAAAAGGGATAAAGAAGGTCACTACATACTTTTTGGAGTAAAAATTCAAGAAGAGACAAAAATCATATATATATATTCACCAAATATGGGAGCATTCAACTACATAAGACAAATATTAATGGACATGAAAAATTAAATATGCAATAATACGATTATTAACAGGGGACCTTAATGCTTTATTGCACAAAGAGATAGATCAACTAGATAAAAGGCAGCAAAAATCAGCAGGACTGAATCAAATATGTGAATAAACAGATTAATAGACATTTACAGAGCATTCCACTCAACATCAGAATATACATTCTTCTAAGATTCACATGGGACATTCTCTAAAATAGACAATGTACTAGCTCATAGAATGTGCCTAAATAACTGCAAGGAAACCAAAATTATCCCATGCATATTATCCAACCATAGTGCAATAAAATTGGAGGTTAATGGCAAAAGAAATTGCCAAAACTGCATAAACACAAGGAAATTAAATAATACCCCCTGAACAATCAATGTGTCACAGATGAAATTAAAGAAGAAATTAAACAGTATCTATAATCAAATGAAAATGCAGATACAACATACCAGAACCTGCGGGGTGCAGTGAAAGCAGTACTAAGAGGGAAATACATAGCAGTGAATTTTCACATCAGGAAAACAGAATGAGCACATATAAACAACCTAATGCTGCACCTCAATTTTCTAGGAAAAGAAGAACAAGTCAAGACCAAAACTCGCAGAAGGGAGGAGATCATACAGATTAGAGCAGAAATTAACACAATTGAGACTAAGAAAATAATACAAAAAAGTGAATGAATTGAGGAGTTGGTTCTTTGAAAGAATAAATAAAATGCATAAGCCTCTAGTCAATCTTATCGAGAAAAGGAAAGAAAAAACAAGTTCATGCAATGGGAATTCAAAGAGTAAAATCACTACAGATCCTGTACAAGTACAGTTTCAAAGTACTTACTTTGAAAATCTTTATCTGTTTAGGCTGGAAAACACAGAAGAAATGGACAGATGCCTAGAAACATAGTAATTACCAAAGCTGAATCAAGTTGACATAAAATTTTGAATAACTTGTTATCAATTGCTGAAATTGAAAACATAATTAAAAACTTAACAACAAAGAAAAGCCCAAATCCTGATAGATTCCCTACTGAATTCTACAGGAAATTCAGAGATTTAATGCCAATACTCCTCAAATTCTTTAATTAAATTTGAAAGGGAAGAAATTTTCCCTAGCTTATTCCTGGAGCAAGTATTACTTAGATACCAAAACCAGAGAATGTCCAACCAAAAAGGAGAACTATACATCAATCTCCCTAATGAACATAGGTGCAAAAATTATCAATAAAATACTAGCAAACAGAATGCAGCAAGCCATCAAGAAGATTATACACAATGACCAAGTGGGATTCATTTCAACAATGCAGGGATGGTTCAACATATGCAAATCGATAAATGTAATACACCGTATCAACAGAGCCAAAGATAGAAATCATATGATCATCTCAATAGGTGCAGAAAAAACTTTTGATAAAGTCCAACACTCATTCATGTTAAAAACTCAACAGAAAATCAGAAAACATGGCCTCTGCCTCAATCTGACAAAAGTCATCTATGATAAGCTAATAGCTAACATCATATTAAGTAGATGAAAACTGAAGCTTTTATTCTAAAATCAGAAACAAGACAAGAATTTTAACTATAACCCCTGCTGTTCAATATAGTTCTGGAAATGTTAGAACAATGTTAGAACAATGTTAGAGAAGGGAGAGAAATAAAAGGAATAAAGATAGGAAAGGAAGAAATTACATTATCTTTATTTGCAGGTGACATGATATTCTACATAGAAGATTCCAAAGACTCCACCAAAGGACTACTAAAATTAATAAGCAAATTTAGCAGCATGGTTGGATACAAAGTGAATACTCAAAATTAATAGCGTTTCTGTACACAAATAACAACCTGAGAGAGACATTATGGAAAAAACCTTTTGCAATAGCACACAGAAAATGAAATACACAGGAATCAATCTAACAAAGGAAACAAAGCATCTGTATATTGAAAATTAGAGTACTCTGAAAAAGGAGATTGAAAAGATGCCAGAAAATGAAAAGATATGGATTTGGTCCTGGATAGAAAGAACCAATATAATGAAAATGGCCATTGTACCAAAACTGTTATACAGATTTAATTCAATCCTAATTAAAATACCATTAGCATACCTCACAGATCTAGAGTAAATATTCTGAAAATTCATATAGAACCAGAAGGGACCTAGAATAGCAAATGTTTTCCTGGGCAACAAAAGCAAGGCAAGAGGAATCACAATCTCTGACTTGAAATTATACTATGAAACTACTGTGACAAATTCAGCATGGCACTGGCAACAAGCCAGACCTGAGGACCAGTGGAACAGATTAGAAGATGCAGACACAATGACAAACACACCCAGCCATCTTATCTTTGACAAGGAGCCAAACATTTTCACAGGAAGAAATCCTCTTTAATAATGGTGTTGGAAAAATTGTATTTCTACATATCAAAGACTAAAACCATGCACTAAGGTCAAAATGGATCAAGATCCAATAGAAACAATAAATCTACTGGAAGATAAGATAGGTAGAGAGCTTGAAGACAGGGGTGGGTAGAGATTTCATGAACAAAATTCAAACTGCATGGCAAGCACGTCAAAGAAACAATCCGGTTTTCATTTTATTAAAAAGATTTATATATAAAAAGAAATCACTAACTGAGTGAAAAGAAAACCCACAGAATGGGAAAAAGTTTTATCCAACTGTCCCTCTGACAAACTACTTCTGTCTAGAACATATAAAGAATTTTAAAAGTCAGTTTCCCCAGATTAAAAATATGGGCATCTGAGATGAACTTACATTTCTTTGATGAAGAAATGCAAATGGAAAATAAATATATGGAAAAATGTTAAACATCACTGATCATTTCAGGAATATACATTAAAAGAACAATGAAAGTCCATCTTACTCTAGGAAGAATGGCTGTAATCAAGAAAACAAATAACAAATGCTAGCAGGGTTGTGGGGGAAAAAGAAATCATTCTCCACTGTTGGTGGGAGAGCAGACTGGTACAATCACCATGAAAATCAGTGTGTAGATTCCTCAAAAAACTAGGATTGGAGGTTATATGTGCACCCATGATTATTGCAGCACAATTTGTAATAACTAAATTTTGGAAACAACCCAAATGCACATCAACTGTGGTATGGATAAAAAGATGTGGTATTTTTATACAATGGGGTACTACTCAGCTACACAGAAGAATACACTTGAGGCTTTTATAGGTAAATGGATGCAGCTTCAGATCATAGTCATGAGTGACATAAATAGACTCGCATATGTAAATATCATATTGTCTCCCTTGTGCAACAAACTGCAAGAGTAAATGAGATCCAAAATGTAGAATAGATATTGTTAATGTGAAAGGGGAAAAAACTTCTCAAAAGGAAAGAGCAACTGGGATAGAGGAAAGGGAAAAAGGAAAGAGGGGAAAGGATTATATACATACACACACACATGATAGATAATTACATGACTAATCTCTGTTAATTTATCAAAAAGAACATTTTACACCTTCATTTTTTGATCATGTTTTCATGCCAATATTCTATAATCTGAATAACTACTTTGAAGACAGCAATACACAATATCTTAAAAATCGTTAGTATCTTATGATTTTGTTTTGACATTCTGTATCATCATTTTTATTCTTTTTTGTTGTATAATAAAAAAAGGAATAACAAGCTGCCCCTGTCTCCCATCCAAAACAGGAGTGTTGTAGGCAAAACTTGCAGTATCTTGCCCAAATTGTAAGTATGCTCCCAAGGGGAAGGGGTCAACAAGCAAGTTGTTTCTGCGAAGGGCAGAAGGAAGGAAAAGAGATTCTGTGCATAATCAGAGAAGGATGCAGGGACTGAGTGACTCCGGGAGCCTGGAGAACGGAAAAGCGCTCTTCTGCTGTTTCTCTGGGCAAAACTGAAACAGAGGCGGCTTCGGAAATCAGCACCAAGGACAGAGACTTTGAGGCACTATATGTGTACATTTATAAGTAAAAGAAATCTGTGGAGCAAAGACACAGAGAAGTCCACGGTACTTACCTCCTCAAGCAATCGGGACAATCGGATCCATGGAGGTCTGCAGAGGTGGATGGTGAAATTCGAAACCAGGACACAAGTTAGGAGGGTACCCCAGCTTTAAGGCTTTGAACAAGAAATTGCCTGCCCACAGTGTGATGATGTGCAGTTCATCAAAACTCCAACAAAGACCCCTTTGAAAAGGGAGCTGTGTGGAAGATCAGGACAAAGAAAATGTATTTAAACACAACAAAATAGCAACCTACTATAAAAAGAATGAATCTGAAACATTTGTATGAAAATGGACACACCTTGAAAATATAATGTTAAGTCAAATAAACCAGAGGCACAAGCTTAAATACTGCAGAGTTTCTTTCATTTGAGAAATCCAAAGTGTAAATAAAAATGAGGCAATAGAAGGGGCTGTAAAAAAACCTTAGTGTCATGTACCAAATTTCCACTATGAAAGTACTCATTATGTATCACAAACTTGTACTAATAAATAAAAAATCACATTCACAGCAGCTCCTACACTGGTGATTGATTGATAACCTAAGGAGTTTATGCTGGCCAACTTGACATAGAACTGCAGCAACATGAATGGAACACATGTTCAAGGATAAGCTCCAGAAAATGTGAGTGTAGCATAAGCAGAGTCTCTCCTTACGTTAACCAAGCTTTTGACTATTAGGAAATAGGACAACTTGAATATCATAGAGTAGAAAATGATGCATATGGACAAACCAGGAGCTCAAAAGCAAAGGCATATCTGGTCAGGTGCCATACATTAAAGATTCCCTGATACAATCTACATGCAAACTTTTGTTAGTTGAATTCCTTCAAAGTCATTTTTTTCCTGATTTGTTTAGACCAGGTATCATTCTAACTCAGGCTGGCTTGAACTCACTGTGGGTCCCAGACTTGCCTCTAATTTGTAGTGATCCTTCTGCTTCAGTTTCCCAAGTGCTGAGATTACATACCTGCACCATCCTACCCAGACCCCAATGCCTTTTCGGTGGTGACAAGTATTGCTGAAGTGATTAAATCAACATGTATTTAAGAAACCAGTCACTATGCATTTTGGGAGGTTCCTATCTCTGGGATCACTCGGTTGGCCTGCACAGGTTCCTCAGGATGAATTTAAGCAGCACTTTAAGTGTAAGATTCTGCCTGTGTATTTGCAATCTGTGCTAATAACAAAGGTTTATTTCCCACAGTTTGTGGTGGTTTTCAGGACCACATGACTGATGAGAGCTTAATTTTCAGTGATAAACTGAGTCCATGGTTGGCAGTCCAGGATCCTTTACATGAATCTTCTGGCCAAAGAGTTAAAGTTGACACTTGAGATGCGGAAGAGTTAAACTGTTATTTACATTGACTTGTGTGTGTGTGTGTGTGTGTGTGTGTGTGTGTATCTAGGCATTATACCCACGGATGTTCTGCCCCTCATCTACATCCCACTCTTTTCTATTTTTTTTCAATTATCAAAGAGAAGTTTGCTTAATTTCTCTCCAGCCTTCAGGCTTTCAGTTCTTCTGCTTCAACTTCTCAAGTAGCTGGGATTACAGGTCTATACATTGGTTTATATAGTAAATATGTCATCTCTAAAAGAGAATTTCCTGACTTTCATAAAACCTTTTAGTGAGAAAAAAAGGTTTGAACTTTTCAATTAGAATTTGAATCTTTCATATGGGTTAAAATGTACACAGAAATGAATAAACTTTTATACAAAGCATGATGATTCTTCCCTCTATTTTTTGCAATATATATTCTTGGTATTGTAAACTCGGTTTGATTTTTTTCCAGCTGTCTGATGGACAAATTGGAAGACCTTCTGCGAGCTTGAATCTAACATACATACCTCAGGTAGGTGGTGCTGGCCTCTCCCAGCTGTGAGGATATCGGTGCATGCTATGGCTACTTTTCAACCACTGCAGGGTTGAGGTACCAAGGACATGATGGGAAGGAAGACCCAAAATCCAGATGTGGCAATAAAAACTGATAGAAACATCTGTGACCATTCATGTGGGGATTTGTTCTGAATACATCTTCCATGAGCCAAGTGATGACACACTTTGCAAAAAACTAAATTTGTTATTCACTTGAAAACTCTACAGAGGGCTTGCTGGACAACAGCTGGACAGGTCAGAGAGGAAGAGACCTTGCTGTGCACAGAGGTTTTTAAGGAGTGGCGATAAAGTTACAAGGACCTTCAAGTTCTTCAGGAGCCACAGCCTCCTCCTGCAGATTCTCCAGCCCCTGGCACTCTTTAGCCCCTGGCTCCTTTATTTTGGCTGTAGAGTAATGAGATTGCTCTGTGAGCACCCAGGAATCCTGCACAGGCTGCAAATCTTTGGAACTACACATAAGTGTTAGATTCAAAACCTGTAAGAAGTTTTAAGCAATCATAGCTGGGAATGAGTCATAACCCCTCCTCTAGAATGGTGCTCCCACCCTGCTCTGCAGTGCTGGTAATTTGATCTGAGTGCTGAATAGTAAATCCTAATTACCCTTTCTGGAGCTGAAGCATTCTTTGGGTATGAATGACCATCCTGCAAAGGTCTCTTCCTGCTAAGGCTCACATTTCCCTCTCACTGGTACCCCTAAGTGGGTGCCTGACATTAAAAGAGGTCAAAACCAAAATGCAAAAACTTGGAACTTTTCCTCAACATTCCAACTCCCAAGTGTGGGAAGTTACAATAGGGAATCGCTGTAGAGTCCTAGGGTCTTTCCAGGTGGTACTGAAATATTTACAAAAGAATCTGCTTCACCCCAGCTCTGGTCTTGCTGTGGTTACTCCTCCTCCACCAGCTTCACTTGGGCCAGGCTGAGTTCTAGAGCAGAAACTAAAGAGTAAATCTCAGGCTGGAGAACTGTAGGAGCCTGGCCAGCTTGCACCAGACTCTGACCACCATGCTTAACTGGGAAGAAACTTTTAGCAATATCACATCAGGAAACATATGGAAAACAGAACAATACAGTAGTAAGTACGGCAGGTGGGCTAAGGATGAGAGGAATAGGGATATCTGGAATGACTTCTTGGGAGAAAACTTGAAAACTTTGTTGAAATTAGCATATTCTTGGAAAATACTAACTTCCAAAAATGACTCGGTAAGAAACAATTGTCTTACAATCATTTAAAATATGGAAAGTATAGAAATCCTTCCATAAAGGAGAGATCAGACACAGACACTGAAAATTTAAACTTTAATGAAGAAATACCATTTTGTAAAAATCTAAGAGTATCGTAATAAACGCACATTTTCCATACTAACTAAACAGATCCCCAAACCATACTGGTAATCCCAATGGGAAAATAAAAATGAGTACAATTTATTCATGAACATACCATGGAAAAGTTTGAATCAACACGTTAGGAAAAGTGATCCAGCAATGCTTAAGTATACATGCTTGGATTAGCTGAGTTACTGTGGAACAGAATGTTCCTTAGGATGGCACAGAGGTGTAGCTGTAGGTCCTGGTACTGCACAGCTGAGTGAGGCAAAACAGTGACAAGAAGAAAACCGCCCTGGGAAAACTATGCACACACAAATTATTCATTAAAACAAGGGCCTGGTGACATGTCACAGAGGTGGAGCTCCCTACAGTAATGACCAGTTAACCAAAATTAGTTACTGTAAGCAAAATCTATTTAAATGACTACAAGAACTTTAAAGAAAAACAAAATCACATTTTTGCCATAGACTAAAGCATTTTAAAACTCAAAATTTGTACAGGCAGATGATATTAAGATCCTGAAAAACAAACCAAAAGAGTACTTGGCAGAAACTGATAATGCATGACCAAGTTGAAGTTGAAGCTAGGCAGGGCAGACAGTCCCCTGGCCTCTCACTGTTGTGATTCCATATACCATGGCAGTTTTAACTAATGCAATAAATAAAAATGAATATGATTGCTAGAACTAAAGGTGCCATTTTTCAGAAATGTGGTAACTGTGTATATATGTAATTCAGTGACTCAAAATAGTACTATTTCATACACATTCACAAAATTCTTGTCTTAATCATCCTGGTGGAGTTAATTTAAATAACAGTGAATTTCTGCAAATGACAAGACATTTCCCTTCCTTCCCTCTGTGCAGACAGGGTGATCTATCTTTCTCAGTCCTTCTATCACTTGCTACCACACTTACAGTTTAACCAGTGGACAGCCATTCTCAAGGTGCTGCTGGACTTCAGATATTGAAATCTCATCAGGAACCTGCTGCTTTCCTTACCCAACAGGTGATTGAGACCTGTCTGCTATTTGCACGGGCGCCTGCTGCAGCAGAGAGCTCAGGGAACCCCCAGGACTTTGCTGTTCTGATGCAAGGTTGGGCTGCTGTTGTCCTAAGTCACTTGGATTCTGGTTTGCCGAAAATTGGTCATGGGGAGTTCAGAGACTGTAGCAGCTGTGGCTGGGAGCTCCGCCCGGGAGCTCCACCCAGCCTGCAGGAACTTTCTCCCTGACTTGGGGGACCAGACCGGCTCCTCACCAGACCAGAGACCAGGCCGGAAGGGTGAGAGGAACAGCGGCAGCTGGGAGCTCCTCCCAGCCTGCGGTAACTTTCGCCCTGACCTGGGGACCCAGGCCAGATCAGAGACTGTGGCAGCGGTGGCTGGGAGCTCCGCCCAGCCTGAGGAGACACTCTTGCTGGCCTGAGGAGCAGGCCATAGTTCCCTGCTGGGTCGAGTGAGTGGGGCCATCACAGGGCACCCCATCCCAGGCTGGTGGATCTCTCTCCCACACCTGGAACAACACTTGAAGCTTCCAAATACAGGAAAATGACAAAACGAAAGTCTAAAATGCAATCTCAAACATCCAGCCCATCCCAAGTAAGCCCAGGAGCCATGTGCATAGAAGAAAACACATGCCATGTGACTGAAATATCTGAAATAATGGTAACTGAAATAAAGAAGCAAATATGGGAAGCTTTAAAGGAATTCAAACGAGAAACATTCTCTCAGATGAAAGAAGAATTGATAAAAGAAATGAAGCAGATGCTAAACATAGCTAAAGAAGAGGCAGTTAAAAAATTAGAGGAACTAAACAAAAAGATAGAATCCCTGGATGAACAATATAAGAAACAAACAGAATACATAAAACAGATGCAAAGAGATATACAGGAAATCAAAAACTCCATTGAAAGTTGTAAAAACTGCCTCAATGAATGTGAAGATAGAATCTCAGACCTCGAAGACAAGATTG